ATATACCCTTTCGCTATCTCTCGATCTCTCTTTCTTGCTTACAGGAAAGAAGAAGAAAGGCATACACGCGATAAAGGAGAGGAAACAGAAATGGAAGGTTGGCCTTGTTGGTGAAATCTCGTGTAGACGAGGAAGAACTTGAGGTCACGTATTGATTAGGAGGATAATGATCAATACCGTTGGGCCGGGAACAATTACCTTTTGGCGTAGGAAGAGAGAGAGAAACAAAAGACAGTCTAGGAAAGTTCGAGAGAATTTAGAAATAGAACCATGCTCCTCCCACTGATGACGAGATATCAGACCCTCATGGTAGAGATCATGTCATTGTTATGGTTGATTTTTATTGTTATTATTTAGCTTTAGTAAATCTTTCATTTGGTTTACACTTCATCGCGGATATGCATTTGTTTTCATTTACACTGGTATGATGTATTTCATTTAAAGTTTATTTAGTTTCGTTTTCATTAAACGTTTGAATGATGGTCTAAGTAATATAGTCTCTTTACCTTTGGCTTTCTTTTATGATAACATTTGATTTTAGTTAAGTGAAGTGATAACTTACGTCAATTTGCTCACGAGCTTTAATATTTTATAGTTGTTAATTTAGCTTTTATTTCGCATTTTATTATTTTTCCTTTTTGCTTAAGTTACATCGTTGGCTCATTTGTCATATATCACCTCTCTCTCGGTTGTGCAATTTACGCCTTCGTACACAGAGTTCACACATTCCCTTACACACGTGACCCAATCAACCCCCCCCCCCCTGTCCCCTCCCAGTGAGCAGTCCCCCCCCCCCCCCACACTTCCCCCAAGGAGCGTCCCCCTCCCCAGCGAGCCCTCCTTTCCCTCCCTTTGCCCCAAGGAGCGTCCCCCTGCCCCCCCCCCCCTTTTTACACACAGAGACACGTGTTGTTCTTAACGTTAACTCTCAGCTCTTCCAGTACGGCCTCGACCCCCAAGGCTGACGAATCACTCGCATCAACTCTCGAATTCATGCACTCGAGGGAGCCCCTGAAGCACACCCGACTCGAGCCCGCCACTTTCCCATCGCTCTCTCGAGGAGGCGCTTATGTGATTGGCGATGGATAGAGAGATAGGAAGAGAGAGCGAGAGGGAGGCCGCTACTTCCTCTTCCCTGGCCTCCACGCCCCCAGGAAGGGAGCGGAATCCCTGCCGCCTGGCCACTCGGCGCGCCCTTTTCGTTCGTTCGTTTGTCCGTATGTTCCCGTCGGCACTGCCCCCGAGCGTCCAGACGCATGGAAACATCTGTGGGGATTTCCCGCGCATATCTGAATGGATGAGTAGGAGCACGGCATATACATCCAAATACGCGAGGAGCACCGCGGTATCCATCAAAATAAATGTCCATCGGGGAATATATTTGAATATTTATATCTAAATACGTTATGAACATGACATGCCTGCCATCTCGGTGCGGGTCGAGGCCATGCGCTGCCACTCGTCCGAGCGTGTGACTCAGGAGCTCCTCGAGGCTGCAGACGGCCGCCAAACTTCAAAATTGGGAACAAAACACGAAACTCTGATAAATCCGGTGAAAGCACGAGGGAAAATAACGACCTGTGTTTATGGACAGTACAATATATCCCTCGGAAGATACAACAAAGATAACGGATTCTTTAACCGTCCGTGAAATGAAACAAATTGGAAAAGGAAATCTAAAAAGGTTCAAGAATTCGAGTGCTGTTGTCGCCAAGGATCAGCGTGTATGCGGGATGCCACCGCTGCTGTGCCTGTCTCGCCTGATGATAAAGAAATATATATATATATATAATATGTATGAATGTAAATGTAGATTATTGAATATTAGACGATAAGATTAACAAACACGAGGCTGCGGGGAGGCGACCCCTGACGTCTTCTCCCCCTCTTCTCCCCATCGACCCCGACCCCAGCTGCAGCAGCCGCAAGTTTTATGTGTCTTTTCCTTGACAAACAGAGCAATTAAGTGATGTTAATATATCCCTTCCAGCCACACACCCCAAGGTACCCCTCCTGTAGAACTTGAAAGGTTCGATTACAAGGAAATTGAAATTTATTTTAAAAAGTGTCAAGACCACTTAATCACTCAACTGTAAGATGCTTTGAGTGGGTTTTTCTGTCTCATTTATAAAGGATCGTCTGACCGAAAAGCCTGACTGCGCGTAAAACCAGCGCCACACACACACACACACACACACACACACACACACACACACACACACACACACACACACACACACACACACACACACACACACACACACACACACACACACACACACACACGCACACACGCACACACGCACACACGCACACACGCACGCACGCACGCACACACACACACACACACACACACACACACACACACACACACACACACACACACACACACACACACACACACACACAATGATTTAATGATTTTTTTTTTTTGGATTGTGTTAGTCATTATTTTTACAGGATCAAATTACCATTATTATTATTGCTAGTAGTATCATTA